TCGTACGGTTACGCCTGTCATACGGTTACGGGTAGTGACATCATTTGCTATATGACATCAGGAAAACCGGATGTCACTTGACAGCACTGCATACACCGCCATTTTGATTTGATGTTGTACCGACATCAGTGCATGGGTCAGCAGATATAATTTCCCGATGTCGTGAGATCTTTTTCTGATATCCACAAAATGTTCGATCACAGGTTCGCATCGACTCAAGAACTGCGGACATCCTGAGGATATCTGAAGCCCATATCCACCCAGCATTTTCATTCAATATTGGACAGCTCTGAATTTATTAATTTTAAAAGCTTCCAGGATGCTTCAGAGAGAGACGAAATTATTTGAAAAAAGCGAAAATATATATTGGCGTGGCTACAAATACATGGAAAATATACTAAGTACACGCTATCTAACCATATGCAAGAGGGGATCGTTCTGTTGTTACCCAAGAACAATGAAAAGAGAGGTTTATCTGGGAATAACGGTCCTTCAGTTCACTGCTGAGGAACAGAAGCTTGAGACAGACATACCCGTTATATTTCAAGCCAATGTACACTGCGAGTGTTGACCTTGATGTGTGTTACCCACCTGAGAGGACAATCAATGCACTGAGGGAGGAACAAGTAATAGTATAGACACGTACAATGCGAGCTGTTGATGGGATGCCAATGTAGAGAACCTGTTAGGGATGAGAAAGGTTTGCCACAGACGGCTGAAGTGCAAACAATGCAAGGCATGCCACAGGCGGCGGAGAAAGCGACGCAGCGCAAAGAGAAGCGGGCCACAAGCGGCCGAAGTGCGACACAGCGCAGACACTGAGGAGACCAGTGGGGAGGGGGTGGAAATGCGGAGCAAGCCTAGAAGGCTGCGAGGAGAGCAGACAGAGAGAGAGAGGTGGAAGAACGAAAAAGGGGAACGGAAGAGACGTGGCAGAGAGCAACCAGATCACGCCACATCACTGATGGAAATTTTCTTCTCATGAGCGGAGTTTGAAATGGACTTAGTGCCGCGCGAGATGCCCAGTCAAGATTTTGAGACCACACTTTGGAGGTGCTTTTGAAAGGCATGGTTGGGCAGCTAGGGGTGTCTCTTTAATAACATGTTACTATGCCGTATTATTTTCAGGCTTCATATCTTTGCAAGGGATAGAATTTGCTTATTTAAGCAAAATGGGCTACAGTATTTCACTGATCTAGGTATTGAGGCATTTCCCAAACATCAGTGGGATATCCGACTCAATCTGGGTCAGATCCCGGTATGCCGAGCTGCAACGGACATCAAGCATCAATGATTGACGAAGATCGGCAGACCAATGTCCATGCAACATCATTACAAATTGGCGGTGTAGTGCTGCATAGTGCCATAGTCGCCATAGGTACATCCCCACTATGCAGCACTATGCAGCACTATGGAGTACTGTGCAGCGCAGGCCGGTTGCCTAGGTTCTGTATTATTGCTCCCTTCCGTTGCTCGCCCCCGCGCTCAATGGACAATAACGATGGAAAAACACAAAAGTGGGAGGGAAATGGAATTGATATTAGCAGCATATCTACGATACAGGCCAATAAATCATATCCGTCCACTCGTCTTCGTACCCCATTCCTACTCCAATCGACCTGGCCCCACAGATGCAAACGACGTACCATGGACCCGCATCTTCCCATCGACCCACGTGCGCATCGACGACGTAGACAACTGTGAAAACATGCACTGTCTGGATTTGATGAGTGACGGCCTAAACTCCACAAGACAAAATACATACCGAGCGCTCCAGCACCGAACACAATCCAGACCTCGCTCCCGGCAACGGCATGTCTCCGCGTGATGACGTTCTGTACAGTCATGGCCGAGACTTTGCCTGTAAAGATGTGAGAGACAGAGCGCATGATGACTACGGGACATACGTACAACATTGAATGAACAGGCGACCCAAACTGAAAAAGTAGTCAGAGAAATAATGAACACGAGGATATAACATACCGTCCAAACCATCTGATCGTCACCGCACAAACAAGGAGGATGTCACTGTATCCCTTTCAATCCTGACGACACCACCTGAGCACCTGGCGAGGACTCTTGGATGAGGGAGCATGCACCGCAAGATTCCTGCGAAAGGTAGCACCGTCGTCAGCGATGGGAGGAGGGAGATGAGTGGCACGCGCACCAGATGGATATCAGGGACTAAGTGGAGAAGATGGGGCATTTCAGAGTGGCGTTGGACTGACACACTCACAAGTGTAGGTAGCGGCATCGACGAGGGGCGAGGGGAAAGGACGAAGGCAGGATGGTGGGAGGAAAGACGAACCATTGTGGCAGTGATGCACGTGTGCGCGGACCTTAAGCGGTCGCCTGTCAGTGTCATGCTGGTCGTCAAGTGCTCCTCGCCATCGTCTTTCGGGCAGGGATAAATCTGAGAGTTCCGTATTAGACTGCGGTGTGTCGAGCTTCAAGGATATCACCGACTTCTCCGGGCGAGCGCGCGCAGTCAGAACTGCGGCGCTGTGTGTGTGCACGTCCGAGCTTTTGGGGGCGCTATTTGTGTGAATTGCCTGGGCGTGGCAACGGCGTCAACGGGCGGCTCACGTCGTCGCAGCGCTTGCAAAAGCTACTTCCACAAGTGCAGAGGAGATGCGTGCATCGCCACCATTGCTGTAGCCGACGCGGGTGCACATCGCATGCAGGTCAGCAGCAGCACTAGGCGCCTAGTTTCTGTTTTTCCCTACCAAAGAGAATATTTCGAATTTATACTGCTTCAACATGACCTTGATGCAAGGGTAACTCACCAGTTAGTGCCTCATTGTGTTGGCTGCGAAGTGGCAGAGTGTTGCATAGTACTCCATAGCGCGTGGTAGACACCCACATAGTACTCCATAGTACTATGAAATGCTATGGGTGCTATGGAATACTATGGTCACTATGGCCAAGTATGGCTCGGCTACGGTTTTCCTGATGTCATGCCACACCATCGAGTACTGTATGCTCCATTGGGCCGGGGAAGGGAGCGCAGAAAAAGACGTTGGAGTTTCAAAAAAACAGGCTAAACAGTGTGGGTTGGGTCGTCACAGCAGGCCGTGGCGTTGGTCGTTGGTCAAAGGGTGTGTGCCCATGTTTGCCAAAAGCTCCGCAGCAGACGCGCCGCTGATCCGTGATGGCACCTTGCGATCTACGGCTTGGACCGCTATTCATTGTGCATTGTCTAAAGCATTGTGTAGTGTCTGCTGACGCTCACAACATACATGGAAAACTCGAAGGAATATAGTTATCAAGAAGAGAAATTCGTTAGAATTTCTGTCTGATCCCCAGAGCTCCGTGTGATTTATTGGTGGTCTCGTTCAGAAGTGTCAGCTGGAATCTCATGGATCTTTTTGACTCCAAGTTATCAAGCTGTCCCGTATTATGAGTTCAATCTTCCGGTGCGTCCGAGTAGATCGAGCGGATTAAACGAATTAAGCCGTCCAATGGCTCGAGCCACCTGCGACTCGGCCAAGGCAGAGGGACTTTTCACATTGTGACTCTCCTGGGACTAAAACGGGCCTCGCTTGAGCTCAATTCTTGTCTAATTCCTGTAATTTCTAGCGGAATGTGCTTGACATTAGTAGTCACCTATTGTAGCCTTTTGTAGCAAAAAAATGAAGGGATTCCGATAGACACTGAGTGGGCACATAAAGAACACGTCAGAATGTACCGGTCTGACCTGATTCATATTGTCTTCGTGGCGGCAGGAAGCAGCGAAGCAGAAACAACGATCAAAAATGACCGATCATTTTTGACGACTCGCCGGTCAAATCACTCCGCAGCTTGGATGGAGACCACAACGACAACGACCTGCTGCAGATGCGGTAGCCTATCCCTCGACAATCCTCGTCCTCTTTCGACCTCCGCAGGCTCTCGTCCTCAGCTACGCTCTCGTCTGGCAGACATCGAGCAGTTCAACTGCTCACCGCATTGACGGCGGAGCGCTCCCGAATACGAGCAGAATTGGATTCAATTGTGTACCCCGTACTTTCTCTTCCGGCAGAGATCACGACGGAAATATTTCGTCGAACATTACCTCCCCCGTCTCTTCCATCGCCTACAACCTCTCCCTTGCTGTTGGGCCAGATCTGTCGTCACTGGAGAGATTGCTATAAATACGCATGACCTCTGGAAGTTCTTGGCCTTGTCGAATCAGAGTCCAGTGGAACTCCTCCACCTGTGGCTCTCCCGTTCTGGAGATGTCGGGCTGCATTATTCACTCAAGTGTGCGATTCCCTCCACTGCACATACGCTAATGATTCCCCTACTCGACCATTCTCATCGCTGGGAGGACATGACATTTAGTCTCCCCCCTCCTGGGTTTCGGGATTGAAATTCAGGCCCTTGCCGATGTTACGGAAAATCGCCTTCGAGATACGGATGAATGACTCCACAGAGGTCGCGTCGGGAAGGATCGTCCTTGGAAATGCACCATTGCTTCATAGTGTTCACCTTGATACACCAAACTTCGCATTTGATCTGCCCTCCTCACAGTTAACTTCCCTCACCCTCGAATCGAACATGGATTTTGTGACATGCATGGCCCTTATATCCCATTGCCCCCAGCTCATCAATCTGGATGTCTCTTTCCATCGCCCGCCCGGCGTTAACTCTCCTTCCATCCCCACGACCCTCCTTTTTTGGAGTCGCTCTCTGCAGTCGTCAGGACTCCATCCGTTTTGGGGCACCTGACTCTTCCGCGTCTCCGGAAGCTTACCCTGAAGGACATGGAATTCCCCCAACTCGCTGGAGTGCTGCAGTCGTTGGTTCAGGGATCGTCGTGTAGGCCGGAGGCGCTCTCTTTTTCCGGCTGTAACCCTAATCTATAGCTATGCCCGTGCAGAAACCCTTTCGCAGAGAATATCTTCTGAGCAATTTGAGTATCTTCTTACTGAAATGTTTCGCTCCTGCATGTCAGCTATAAGTGCTGATCTTCTCAACGAGGTGGTTCAAAAAGCAATGGGACAGAAAACGCACAGATAAAACCCATCCCAGATTCGAACTGGGGCCTCCCACATACAGAATTTTTGACAGCTGCTGTATTTCGAGTGGACGCGCTGCCTTATGCGCCAATGGGTCGTTTCTTGTTTCATTCAGCTTGAATATATACAGTACCATAACCCGGCTCTGAGATCCAATCAATTTGAAGCGAAGATAAAATGAAACATAATAAGTCGGACAGCGACCGTTGTTAGATTCGGACTGGATCTCCTCGAATCTTAATTGAGGATGAGCCTACCAATTAATGTATGTGGGTATTCCAATGATTCTTGCTTCACATTGTTTGAGCTCGAGTATATAAAGCAATAAGAAGGCTCAAGGGGAATTTAAATAACTGCACCACCACCTTAATTTATGGACCATTTCAAAAATGCAACTAGGACTTCCCGCGGATCTTTTATGCGCGTACTTAAATGTGGTGCGCAGGCGTGGGACAGCAACTGGAATGGAATCATAACGGCTGAAGAAGGTGGCAAGCGGGGTGAATATGAGATCCCAGGTTGAAATTGGGCTCTCAAACGAAGCGGTAGAAATTATTGTGGTTGCCTCGAAGGACGCTTCTTAAGAGCTTCGAAATTTCAAACGAGGTGAGAGTTTAGCGGTAGACGCCTCATACATCGATCGGGCTATGCAGTTGAAGTGAGGCCAGGCACATTTATATATATATTACAGAACCGGTCCAAGCGGAGTTTGAAACCGAGCCGGCCCGAAAGCCGGGGCTGTTGGCAAGCCCTGCTTCAGTAGGGACAATCTATTCCGCGGTTTCAGGTTGATGTCGCATGTAGAGGAGGTCTGATCACTGACCTGGGCTGTAGTGACCCTTTTCACCACATGTCCAGCATTCAACCGACTCCGCCTTTCTTTTCGCCGCGGCTGGGTTGTTGGGACAAGCTATGACAGTTTAAACTCAGTAAACCTATTGATTAATCACAAACCAATTGTCCAGTGACCAAATTCACCGCACTGCACATTTTTTGTGAGCGTCGTAGCAGAGCAGGGCTGTTGAGACCGACCGTATAGCATCTATCTCCGGCTCTCGAGCCTCTTGACGGTCCTGCTTGGCTTCTCGACAGGCCAGTTTGGCCTGCTCGCGGCGGAGGAGATGGTTGAGCGTTGAAATCTAGAGGCTGGACGACGACTCACTTCTTTCTGCGTAATTTACCTGGGCATCGGCGCGCAATGGTGACGGAGACGAGGACGGCGAGGGGCAGCAGCATAAGATGGAGTTGCACAGGCCCATGGCTGCAAGGCACAGGGAGTCGCTGATGGCGGTGGCGGCGGTCTTATCTTGTGCATCCCTTGTACGTTATCTGACTGCTGTGCATGCGAGATGTCTACAGACGACATGCCGACGGTGATTAGCACTTACCGTTTGGCTGACGGCGATGCCACTCACCGTCCTCCTTATCTTCCGGACTAGGCACATTACATGCACCGTATCACAGCCTGAACACTGACGCCCATTCCTCTTTGTGGCAAACCCAAAGCGCTGCGTTGGTAGTTGCGCATAATGCGAGAACAGGTAGAATAAGCGTACTCTGTTGTTCCTCAGCTGTGCCTCCAGAAGGAGGTTCTTTTTCTCTCGTATTGGGCCTAGTGATGCTCAGGGCCCGGCTCGGCTTGAGTACCCCGGCCTGGGCCCGGCTTATGACGGCCTGGGCTTCACAAACCTCAAGCCCAAGCCCGAGCCGTTAGGTAAGGCTTGAAGCCCGGGGCTTGGGCTTGAGGCCCGGGCCTATAAATTGATTTGGGAGATTTTGTGTTACAATTAGTTGATTTTATTCATAACAAATACATTAGACCTCCGCTGAAGGGATATAACCTCGTAGTTATCGGGATCATTGTCAACAAATATATCCCAACTTTTCGCACCTGCCCTCGCTTTGACATCCGGCTCTTCAACCACATCCTCATCCACAAGCGCCTCCAGCACACTAAACAAAATCAAGCGCTTCATGAATTGAAGTGCCTCGACAACATCTCCCTTCAGTCGGTTACGGCGCTTGCTAATTGTTATTCCTGCTGAAGAAAAGGCGCGCTCGGAAGAAACAGAAGATGCCATAATTGCGAGATAATGCAGGCAAGAGATCCTCACGTCGGATAGCGGAGATAGTTACGCTGTTAAAAGAATGCGAGATCAGCAGTGAAAAAACGGCAGAGAATGCTGCCATGGTGCGAAGTCACATTTTGTGACGAAATTTATACCCGTGAGGTGCCGAGAGATGCCGAGGCCCAGTGAGGTAGTACATAGAGACACATATAGATGTTGAAGAGACGGAATAGCAACAAGTGACTGATTGATGCGCCATCACCAGTAAGCCCGGGCTTGACGGCTCGGCCTAGGCTTGAAATTCTCAAGCCCAAGCCCTAGGCCCGCTCAAGCCCTGCACCGGGCCCGGCTCGGCTTGGGCTGCCCGGGCCCGGCTTAGCGGGCTTCACGGCTTGAAGCCGGGCCCTGAGCATCACTAATTGGGCCGGCGTGGTGGAGCAAAAGAATGGGGATAAGGGAGATAAAACCAAAGACATAAATGAAAGCCATGGACATCTATCGATGTCTGCCTACTTGGTGTCGCAGACCCTGCCAAAACTGCTCGTCAGACGTCTACGGACGTCCGTGGACGTCAACCCAAGTCGACGGGGTCACGGAACGCAGTGAATACGTGCTCAGTTAGGCATATACGATATCTTTTACCGATGCCACATTGATTATTCACGCGGCGCCACAATCTCAGAGGCTTACCTGCTTTTGATTGGACAACATTCCCGATGGTCAGAGTTGATATCGGTTTCCTTTGAAGATAAGCTGGAAACTCTATATCGCAGCTGCCCCGATGCGCGCAACTAGGGCTCCGGTTAGACTCGTTACCAGTCTGTAACCAATTTGCGAAAAATATGTGGCAAGCACTTTCGCTGGTTACAGACTGGTACTTCTCGTTGACAGGTATTGGGCTGCCAACGGAGTTTGAAAATTTAGCAGGTGCCGTGATCGGCCGATAAGCGAGCGATCAAAAGCGATCATTTCTGCCCCAAAGTCGATGCACCTTGCAGCTCTTGCTCATCCACTGAAAAATATTCTGAAGAGACAGATATTTCCATTTCTAGCAGATAAACACTCCTGCTGATGTCGATTTAGTTTATGCGCAAAGTGCAAGAGAGAACAACCGGCACGAAAAGTTTTAAACTCCGCTGTCAGCCCTTTGCATGATCCCGAGAAGTACCAGTCTGTAAACACCGAAAGCGCTTGCTGCATTTTTTTCGGAAAATGTTTACAGACTGGTTACGAGTCGAGGCTCCGGTCCGTCCGTCCGTCGGGGCTCTCGAACGAGAAATCCGACGGCTTTGGGGTCGATACTGAGCCTAAAGTCGAGGGGTTATGCATTAAAATGAGGCGGAACCCCTCATGTCTTGCTTATATCCCATAATACCTCTCAACAACGAGCCCCAACGTCGCATCAACGAGTACTCGTCATTTGCCGAGACAGTTGAACTTTGGTTGAACTTTCAGCTGGGGGAGAAAGCAAAATTTCTGTGTGGTTATGTGTGACTGGAATACTAACAGGGTGAGCTCAGAGTCAATATAATAGTATATTTCGGTATGAGGCCCAGAAGTCCACACTTGACCCATGAAGCAAGATCTACAGCCCTTGATCATACTGGCGTATTTTACTCAGAAAGACCCTGGAAAAAGTTGTTGAGAGTTTTAAGAGATGTAAGATAATATATTCAACGTGTATAGTTGATAAGTATACAACTTTGCCATGGGAAAACCAAAACAAGCCTGTTGTGCGCAGCCTTCTGCGCTCGAACGGCTGAATGAGGTCATAAGCGGCGTGAATATTTCAATGAATTTCCGATTGAAAGTCAACTCTCAAAGGAAGCAGTGGCAATTGTTGCGGTAGCTTCGAAGGACGCATCATAAGAGGTCCCGATTGGATTGACATGGTGGCTTCAAAATTTCAACTGAAGTGCGCATTTAGCAGCCAAGAATTGGGCCATTTCTCTCAGTCCGACCTGACTCATCAATCGAGATGCGGCGGGAGCTCTTGCGACCACATTTGTATTGGCCGGTCCAAGCGGCGAATCGGAGGCGGAGTTCGAATACCGGAACGGCCCGAGAACTGGCGGGGATGTGGCAAACAGCCGCATACAACTCTCCTCTGCTTTTACTTTCGCCATCCTGGACCGGCAGCTCTGAGTCTGACTCTTGTTCATCCACTTTTACCAGCTGCTGCTCGGAGTATTGCTCGCCCTGGCTCCCCACAACCCCTGCTGCTAAATCTCAACTGCTGGCGATTGTGTGGAAATCCCAAGAACTTCTGAGATCCTTGCTGAGATCCAGGATCGCTCTCGCGAGAACTGCTCCATTTCCTGCTGGAGCATGTTTTTCTCCACTTCGAGCACCAGACTTATCGACCTGCACGAGCTGGACCCGCGCCCCCAGTGCCAACTGGCACCGTCTCGTCATCTTAGGCTCGTGTTTCGAACAGTTCGGGGCTTGAGGCGTAGCGCCATAGCAAATGTCGGGACGCGATTCCTGCCGCCATTGGCATTCGCACCGGCGAAGCGGATAAAGTACTGGCGCGTACTGCACTGGGTACTAATGGCGGGATCTTTGGCACCTGTCTACTTCTCCCCCCGCTGGTTCCACGTTTTTGTCGCGGGTGAAAGGCTCCGGCATTGCTCATATCATATGTAAGTCCCTCTTTTTTATGTACATGTAGATCCTTTTCTCGAATCCATACACTTCTTTATTTCTTATCTACCCCGCCGGTGACGCTGACAGGTCTCAGCAGTTTCTCTCGGCACAGTCCTCGACTCGGAGCAGCCTGGCACCTGCTGTACATACCCTCCTCGACTCCTGGTGCAGCGGAAGGCTAGCAGGAATGCGCGCATCCGGATCGCCATGATCTCCGCAAGCGAGCATGTCCTTCCTGCAATAGAGTCACTGCGTCACCACATGGGAACGACGTAGTCACTGCGCTACTAGGCCACCGTAACGAGTTTTCGTCTCTACGCTCTTTTCTCCGCGCCCTCCTGTGCTAACGCACTTTATTCTCCTACAGGTCATCACGCATACGGTATTTCTCAAGTATAATTGCAGGACGCTAGTCGCCCACCGTGGAAATGCCATCGTGTAAGTATTATGTTCTGACCCTCCGTCTCTCCTCCTCCTCGAGCTCTCCGTCCCATTTCCCCGTTACACCGCCTTTAACCAGTCCACCCCTCCCCCTCGGCGCTGTCCCCTCCTAAACTCCGTACTAACCAACCGCACCTCAAAAATTCCCTCTGCTCCACTCCTTTCTACTGCCGCTGAATCGATATCATCTGCCGCCAGACGCAGGCCGGACCCCTCCGCCGGTCTTCCGCCACTAGCGTGTTTTCCCCACCACCGTCGACATGTGCATGCGCGCCTTTTCTATGCTGCCCCGCCTTGGGGATGCCGCTCAGCTACAACCTGCAGATCGTCTTATACACCATGACATTCTTGCTCTACTTGTTGTATTATTATTACCTCCATGGCGGCCACCAGGTCATATTTTTCTGTCGATGAGCACTACACCGATCCCAGGTCCGAACTGAGTTCTCCACCACTCTATGATGAAAGGATCACGCAAGCAGAATTATGTTCGGATGAGCTGCGTGTAGAGTGTTCCGATAGGCCGTGCTTCATACCCAGTATTTGAACTCGAGCTATACAGTCGCGGTTCAGGGAACAAAATGAAATCAATGTTGAAATAGAAATAAAACGGCACAGCCTGACTCTAGATCTATGACCGTGCAGAGAATATGTTCTCAGCAATGTAGTTTCGTGCTGAAATGTCTCGCTATAAGTATTCCAACGAGTTGGAAAAAGCCAACGAAAACGCACATCAGAACCGATCCCGGATTCGAACTGGGACCTCCCACGCAATAATAGGAAACAAACCCTACATTTGGAGTGGGCGCGCTGCCTTCTGCGCCAATGGGTCGTCCCTCGTATTAATTGAGGTTGAAGACGGCACTGATCAGCTGACCTCCAATCAATTGAAGCGAACATAAAGACAAAATAAAAACGACAGTTGAAGAATATAAGTAACGACCGTTCTCAGAGTCGAGCACAGTGCTGACACCGTTTATGTTGAGAATATCAGCATGTGGGGGTGGTGTAGAGTATTCCACGGCGTCTTTCCTCTTGTCAATTCAGCTCGGGTATATACACTGCGAATATTGAAGGAAAAATGCAATACGCAAAAAGACCGCACTGCCCTAATTGTGAACCCCATCAGAATTAACTGCGATCTCGTGCAACCATTCTGGGCAAAAAATTGTTGAGCAGCTTCTGCCAGGTGCACCATTGCTCGAATAAACTGCAACGGCGGAAGAAAGTCGTGGATAGAAGTTCTGTTTGAAATTTAAACATGGCCGTCCTTGGGGCTTCTCTTTTCGCAATCCTGTCAGACGCACCTATGGTTGAAGCCGTCGCTATCGGCGGGTTCCTGCAGATGGGGAAGAATCAGAGATATTGGGCGTGGAGGAAGAAAGCAACCGTGGGAAGAGCAATTTGATCTCCGACGCCCGCATTCGGCAATCGCGGCTTGGACCGCAAGTAGTTTAAAACAGGACGAATACTCCGTACCGTTGGCAACTTACATCGCCCTCCACCAAAAATTTATGTGAGAAAATGGTATTCAAGAGTGAGCGACGATTATTTCGACTGGGTGAGCAATGAAAGAATATGTCGAACTGAGGTCCTACACAGAGAGCGTATTTTGAGTGGGCGCACTACCTTCTGCGCCAATGGGCTCTCCCGCGTATTATTTGACCTGGAATACATACGGTCCTATCAGCCGGCCTGAGATCTTGAAGCCAGAATAAAAAGGCGCGTTATGGAAACAAGCTTAAGGACCGATCCCAGGTTCGAACTGGGTTCTCTCATTTTGAGTTGTACAGCAGTGGGAAGGCCTTGGGGAAGGCGCACAGAAAAATGAAACAAATAACGGGACCGGGTCTAAATTTAATCTGTCACCATGCCGAGTGCCACTTGTAGAGATTATCCTCTGCGCAAAATGTAGTATCGAGATGTACTTACAACCGCTACTGCATCACAGCCAATAACTACTGATCCTTCCAACGAGGTGGAAAAAGCCATGAAAACGTACTACGAATGACCCATCCCAGATTCGAACTGGGACCTCCCACGTACTAACATGTATCTAGAAAAGCGGCTATTTCGAGTGGGCGCGCTGCCTTCAGCGCCAATGGGTTCTCCCTCGCTTTAATTGAGCTGGGGTATATATATTATTCAGGGATCATAAGCCGGGTGTGAGATCTAATCAATTGAAGCGTTCGAAGAGGAAATAATAATAATAAAAGCTGTCGGACGGCGCGACCGTTGTTAGATTGGGACTGAGGATAAAACCCGCGTTCCAGATTCGAACTGAGGATTCCCACACAGAAATACTCTGGAGAATGTAGTTTGAGTGGGCGCGCTGCCTCCTGCGCCAATGGGCTCTCCTGCATATTATTTGGCCTGGAATAAATACGCTACCATGAGCCGTGTCTGACTTGAAGCCAAAATGAAGCCACCGTTGTATGTGTGTGGATATTCCAATGGGTCTTGCTTCGAGTTGGTTGAGCTTGAGTATAAAAGGCAGTGGGAAGGTTCAAGGGAAGTTGAAATAATTGCACCATCTCAGCAACAAACTTGTTTTGCGGCCATTGCTTCGCATGGCAGTACGAGTCCTCATTACCCATGATTACCAATATTACCTCAATATTTTAGACACCTCAGGAGTCCGGAGTTGATTTTGTGATTATATTTGGAGGTGAACAAATTAATATATGACACTTGCGATAGAAAAGTTCACGTAGGCCTGGGACCTTCCCTTTAGCGCACTACTTCCGTTTTTGTTATCACACAGGAGGCCATCATGTACTATGTACCTACAAACCACCTGGAACACACACTCCGCCAGATATCATGATTATCGTGATTACCATTAATCTTAAAATATACGACCACTGCTGAGTAAGCAGTGAAGAATACTATATAAACCCCGCCCATATTGCACCACAGGCTTTGATCCCCATCGAACTATTTTAAGATGGTGGTATTTGTATGGCCTGCTTTGCTCTTGTCTCCCTCTCGTACATTCTCTGAGATTCTGATTACTTTTGTCTTCATCATATGTCCTCCCATCTAATATCTCTCCGTGCCATAATCAGATGCTCGTATTCTCATCACCCAATCCTTCTCTTCATGAGATAGGACGAGAGAGCATTGGTTATACCTTTTGTTGTTGTACCACACATCCACACATTGCTCCCCTCCTCAATAGGTGAAGTGCACATTCACTGGGTTTCGATTCCCTGAGTACGGCCATCGGCCAATCTTTCATGTTTGTAAAGTTCGATGGACAGGAGTTGCTAGGAAGAAACGAGATCCTACCTTCTGCCGGTGAGACCGTGCTATGTGGCAGAATTTGGCGGGAGGTCTGAAAGAAAATATGAAACACAGAAAGCGCATGGCGGCGATTATAGCCATCACTGGGCAGGACATCTGAAAATTCGAGTAAAACATTATGCGGCGCTGCCAGCAGCATGCTGCTCCTGCATCAGGGTAGTGGTTTAAACAAATTGAAACACGGCGGAGACACACACCACACATCTTGCGGAATCTGGATGTGTTGGTCAAGTAAGTACGTTCGAACATTTGATGCCAGCACCCGACTGGTCTAACCACGGGTAAACCTGCGACGAGAGATCAAAATCACCGGCTCCAAAGTATCCATGTCCCCATAATTCATCTCGTGGCCAACAAAATCATCGGAGCCCAGGAATGCAGACAGTGACATATTGAGCTCAGATCTGATTAAGATGTGCATCTGTTTAGCAGGGATGGTCTGCGTGTACGTCGTGGGTGGGGAGATTGAATATATGACCAAAATAAAAGTCAATAAAATAAAATGCAAGATCACTAGGGTTAGGGAATGTTCCGAATCATTTCCCACGGGTTCAATCTAGAAAACCTTGGGGGTGCAAGAACCAATCCTTATGAATAAGGACTCGTAATTGGGGCATTCCGCATAAGTAAATGTGGTGCGCAGCGCTCGGTAATATAACGACGGAATGAAATAGTGAGGGGGGTGAATATTTCAATGAATTTACTGACTGAAATTCGACTCTCTCAAACGAAGCGGTGGCAATTATTGCGGTTGCTTCGAAGGACGCATCATAAGAGGTCCCGATTGGATTGATATGGTGGCTTCAAAATTTCAACTGAAGTGCGCATTTAGCAGCCAAGAATTGAGCCATTTCTCTCAGTCCGACCTGACTCATAAATCGAGATGCGGCAGGAGCTCTTACGGGTACATGTATATTACAGAACCGGTCTAAACGGCAGAATCGGTCGCGGAGTTTGAATACCGGAACGGCCCGAGAACCGGCGGGGATTTGCCAAGCAGCCGCATACAAGTACGGCTCCTCTACTTCAGGACTTGAAGTTCAAGTCGCTTCCATCAACACTCTGGCGGCTTCGAGTTTGGCGCGCAAACGAATTGGAACAAGAACGACCTGTGCTGCGCCTCCCCGTTACATACAGCGCTCACTGCGCTGTTCCCATACACACCTATCTACCCGGTACCGACGATACTTCACCGCCAAGAGCTCGCATTGACAACGATGTCCGCCTTTCCCTGCGCGCTCGCCGCGAGAACCTGTGTGCTTACCATGGGCATCATCCCTGCGCTCGCGTGACGAATATGTTCTTTCTTTGGGTCGCTGCTAGGTAATACTGTCTTGCATCTTCCGCCTCTCCTCCCCTCCTCGAGCCCTGCTAACCAACCCTCTTTCTCGTCTAGCTCGCTTTCGCCTTCTTTTAGGACAATCTCCACCAGAGCAGCATCGGCATACCCCTTCTCGACTTCTGCTGGTGCAGCAAATGCGCATAGTGATACAAGGCTGTAGCGGAGAACTCGCGCAAGCTGCAATACCTCGAGCATTACTGCCGAAATACATACCCCAAACGACGAGCCACCCCAATCCTCTTTTCTCCACAGCCGCGCCCCGTGATTCGATTCATTCAGATTGTCCCGGACGTACTGTGCACGATATCAGGGCGTACCGCGGGACTGTGCCATCGTGCAAGTAAGTACTTTTTCCCCCTCTTCTCCCTCCTGCTCCTCCTTCTCGTCCCTCTTACGAATCCTTCTCGTTCCTCTTACGAATCCTGCTCGTCCTCCCCCTCCCCTCCCCTCGGTACTCCGTACTAACCGCGCCTCTTTTCGTACAGTTCTATGCCGAGCGATCTGCCGCGAGACCGAGCGCGCGAAGGGCGGCGACGCTGGTGCCACGCCCACCAGACACCCGCGTTCGTCTGTGGCCGCCGCGAGTACAATACGCGCGGGGACGCTGTACCACTCCGCCCGTGCCGTGCCATCGCCACCAGCGTCGACCACGACAAGCGCGCACCTTTTCTATAGCTATGCTGCGTCCATTTTCGCCATAGCTATCTTGTATTATGCAAGCAATATCTCCCATCTTCTCTTCTCCTCGTCTCCCATTTTCCCTCGTCCTTGCTCGCTCCTCACCTCTCCCTCTCCCTTCCGCCTCCGCCTTCCCTCCTCCCCGCTTTATGCCCACGACGGCTCGCTGACCGCATATCTTTGTCAGCCTATGTCTGGCTGTTGCTCTTACTTCAAGACGCCGATTCCGCCCTCCGACGTGCGGACGATCATGCAGCGAGCAGCGCCGTGAGAGGCAGGTGGTGTTACGCCCCATTCCAGCGCTCGCCGCGATGCGCACCCCGCGGCCGCTGTGCATCCCGAAAGAACCCGCCAGCAGTGCCGGCTCGCACCACCATCCGCCGTTCACCGCGCATTTTGCCGTGAGCATCCCCTGCGCGTTCGCGATGAGCATCGCCCGCGCGTTCGCCATGAGCATCGCCCGCGCTTTCGCCACGAGCATAACCCCCGCGCGTTCGCGATGAGTA